GATGTCCTTTTGGAGTGAGCTGGCTATGGAAAGGAAGCTGTGACATGGAGCAGCATTTCTGTGCTGGACACTAGGTGTCTCTCCCACACTTGTCTTAGCTGTGGACTTCAGCTAGGCTGTTTTAGGCTTAGACCTCGCACGTAGTTTATAATTCTTCTGAGTCTCTCCCCTGCACTTACACATTCTTCTCTGATGTTTGTGCCAGGCTCCTGCTAATCCATAATCTCTGTTTCAGCCTCATTCTCAGCCTTCAACTCCCTGGTCGATAAAGGAGAGGACTCTGATTCTCCCCATTCCACTGCTTCCTAGGTCTCAACATTCTTGCTCTTCTTTGCTAAGAAATGTCCTGCCATATAGACTTCCATCCATAGTTCTTTGAACTCACTAGAGCCACAATGTCTTCTGTAAAGTGTATTGCATCATTGATTCGATCAACGAGCATTTGCTGAGGTTTTGTTTTGTGTGCAGCCTAGGCTCATCTTATATTTTGATATGAAAACACAAGTTTTGTTCCCCGTGCATTTAGAAGAATCTTTGGGGGAAAATGGAAACTCCACAAGCCGTAATAAAGGATCTCTTTACCCATCAGAGTGTGTAAATTGGATAATTTTAAAAAATAATATTCATTCTCTACAATAGAAAAGGAGACATATGTTCTGTGTTGCTAATGCTTTGGGGGAAGTAGAAACATTGAGTTCTATTCTGAGGGGGGAAAAAAAGAAGCAGAAGGAGGACTTTTGTGTTGGGGGGTCATGAGAGTTTGGGCAGAGCAGGCAGAGACCACTGAAGGGGAGGCGAATTAGACAAAAGGATGGGCTTGGCTAGGCGGTGCCTGGATCCGTACCCCCAAGTGGTCTCATAGATAGCGATCAGATACCTGGAATGGACATGCCATTTGTGTGTCTAAGCCCTGTGTTCCTGGGATGACCTAGCTGGACCAGCTGTCTCAGACGAGAGTCATTACCGTTATTAAATGGAGGCATTATTGTGCTTCATTCAAAGTCCTCTACAGCCAATATCAACAACTTAGATGTTGCCTGCATAGTTGTAGCAACATCTCCCTGCCTAGGCGTGGAGATGTCTTTAGCCGGTTACCGCATCACCTGTTAGGAGGGGAATCAGTGTCGTGCCCCACGCCTTGAGCATGACACATACTTTGGCTAACCTGTACATATGCTTCCCCCTGCAATGCCACGGGGAGTGGTAAGCTTGAGTGACTCCTGGGTTTCTAGTGGGATGGGCAGTGGCAGGAGCTTCTATTTGGGCAGGAGCACTCTGACCTGTAAAAGGGAGGGAGCATACTCCACGTTACCATGTATGAAGCTGTGTTCTCGGCATTGCGGAATAAATACAGATGAGTAAGAGCTGTTCCTTCTGTCTGGTTTTTATGTAATGGGCAGAAAAAAATACTGTGGGTCCATGGTGAAATGTCAGGTCAGGAAGTGAATGCACTCAGGTAAGGCTCAACTCTGCTTTAATAAAGTTTCGATTCCTCTTAATTCATTGGTATATGTGTGAGACAAAAAAATCACTTTCTAAATTTCTTGAAAAAGCCAGATATCTTCCGTAAAGTCTTTTATGGAACTATGATATTACACAGAGGGAGAATGACAGTCTGAATCATAATACTGCTAGCTTGATGAATTTCTGGTTGAAAACCTGCATCTAAAGATTCTAAATCTGATGGCAGCTTTCTGCTGGCTTTATCCTGGCCCATGTGCTGTTTGATATATTCATCAAGGATTTAAATATAGGTGTGGAGGACATACTCTTCAAATTTGTGAATGATGCAGAGTTAAGAAGATTAAAATACCTAAATGACAGGATCAGATGAAAAAGGTCTTAACATTGTAGAGAGCTGAGCCAAACAAAAGCAGGTTGATAGGGACAAATAGCAAGCACTATATATATAAATACATCTTTTGCTTTGGCGCTATTGAGTCTTAACATTAGTAGCATAACAAAAACAAGCAAAGCATACCAGAGTATACCAGTTCAAAACACATATATTTATAAACACACATAATTATATTATTAAAACACATATAATTATATTCTATTAGTATAACAGTCCAAAACACAACATTTTACAGTGGGCCATGGCTAAATGGGTAAGACACAGATTTGCCTTGTGTGTTCTAGATTTCCTCACCAAGATCCTTAAAATAGCAACAGTCTTGGACGACTGTTTTATTTTGTCTTCTTTGGGACTGTATTTTTGACAATGACAGTGTCAAAGTCAGCCTTATTTATTCTGGAAGTAGCTGGCCAGAGTAAGAATTCCATGAGTAAGAATATCTTAAACTTTCATGGCCCCAGTCAAGAGTAGCTCGTCTACAGTGTGACATATTGGCTACAAGCATCCGTCATACACTTTCTGACATCACCAAACAAAACCACCCTATCCATCTCATTGACTTTCTCTCTTTGTAAATCAAAGTAAATTCATCGTTGAATCTTGCCTGTCTGCAATTAGGTAACACTATTGGAACCACTTGCAAAAGGGGAAGCAATGATATAATTTCTCCACTCTGCAATATTTTCTTGTATCCACTACAGCCTGTAGATTCTGTGTATAAACTATCTGCAGGATATTTTTTAAAAATCTCTGTGTCTGAGAAGTGTGTATTCACCCTAGTTACTGAAGTTGTATTGGTTACAAGTTTTTCAGAAATTAGAGCATGGCTCATGGTTTTTTCTTTTTGTTGTTGTTGTTGTTGTTTATCTTGTTGGGCATATGGAAACGTCCCTCTGGGTGACCATGAGATTGATCATGATGTTGATTATGATGGTAAGTTCCATTGAGTTATCCTAATTTCCTCACAGCCATTCTCTATGACATAGACAGCTTCCTCTCTTCCACTTTTACCAGTCTCTATTTGGAGTTCCTGATTGATGAATTTCTTGGTGATTGCCTTGCTCAGACCCAAGCCCACCTCTTCTCCAGTTTCTGGGACAGGCCCTGGGGTGAGCTGTTACCCAACCTTACCATGTTGGGCATGGTGGAGGCTCGGTGGGGCTGGTGGGGGTGCAAGGCAGCGAATGGAAGTCACTTACTTTAAGAATAAAAAAATGTATGAATTACAACAAAACAAAAAAACAACTGATGTTCAAGAACAACGTGAGAGAGATTTAGCAGTAATATTTGTGAAAATGTTTTAGGGGCTATAATTGAGAAATTTCTCAAAATGAATCAGCTGTGGAATGTGACTGCAAACCCATCGATGTGTTATATGGTATTAGTGGAAGTGGTTAGCGTGAGGTAGTGGCAACCCACTTCTTGTGACTTGATCAGTTCACATCATTCAATTTTTGCTTTCAGTTTTTAGTAATACAGTTTTCTTTTAAAAGGGGCATTATTTGTTTTTATTACAAAGTAATGTGTTTTCACTGCAAAAAATCTGAAATGTATAGAAAAATACATCAAGTGCAGATCATCTATAATCACATTGGTTGGAAGGAATGACTGTTAATATTTCCTTATGTATCATTCCAGGTTTATGCACACACATACACATGCATAAATGATCTTAGTATACATTTTTTGGTAATCTCCTTTTCCCACTTGACAACATAAATATTTGAATGCCATTCAATTACTTCTTCAACATGTTTTTAATTTTATCATATAGGTATCACATAGGTACCATACTGTTATTTTTAAATACTTTACATAATGCTGTGATGAACAATATAATATATAAATATTTACTTATGTTCCTGATTATTTCGTTAAAGAAAGTTCTTAGAAGTGTAAATTTCAGATAAAAGGGGTATTATAATCATTCTTTAAGAGGTACCTAGATAAATGAAGTATGTCCAGAAGTGAGTGACTTTATTTTTTTGAAGGGACTAGAAACTAAGTCATTTGAGAAAGTTGCAAGAGAATAATTGAAAATGGTTGCAAGAATGTCTTTTCTATTCCTGAGGCCACATTGTAGTTACCAATTTGTGTTGTCTCCTCCCTTCCCCTTCTCCTTCATCCCCACTCCCTCCCAACTAGCAACCCTCAGTTGTTCCTCTGTGTCTCTGAGACTATTTCTGTTTACACTTCATAGACGATGTAGAGGCCTGACCTCCGCACTGTAGTTCTGAAGCTGATGTTGAATAATAATGTATGTCAACTATAATTATATATACATATAGTCACGGGATGTGGAGTAGAGTGTGAGAATGGAGTCAATGGAATTGTAATAGATAAGCATGATATCAGGGGTGGGAGGGCAGTGGGTGGGGGGAGGGGGGTTGTTACTTTGTGAGGGGTGAAAAGGATAACTATTGCATTGTTCTGTACACCTGAAACTAATTAAAAAAAAAAAGAAAATAGTTGTAAGAGGAAAAAAGTGGGGATTCAAAGCTTCTTCACATATTTAGGGCCTGTCCTAAAGAGAAGAGGCACAAATATAATAAATGTAGTATTAATGGTTTGAAGTTACAGGGAGACAGCTAATGTGATGCAGGAGCACTTGCCACTGCCAGTTATTAAAACTTGGATGTGAGTGACTCACGAGGAAGCGTGGCCTGAACTTGGAGGCACAAGCAGAGGCCTGTGGTCACTGACAAGAAATGTGGTCCTGGGTATTCAGGGGTTGAAAGTGGTTTGGGCTCTTCTAATCTTTCTTCTGAGTCAATGATTTGTCCTAAGCAGAAAGTTTTTGTAAGAAATGATGCCTGATTAGAACATTTTTTGTTGTTTGATTCATGTTGGTAGAAAATAATTTACATGGGGTTTTGAAAACAAAACAAAGCAAAAAAAAAGCAACCCAGCTGCAAAGCTGTCTTATTTAAAACTTCATGTATATTTCTTCCTAAAATAATTTTAATAGAAATTTGTTTTGTAAAGGAATTGATAATAGTTTCCATCATCTCTGTGTTCATTATCACCTGGACATTTTTAAATTGTAGACAGTCTTTTTTGTTGTTATTCATAATACACTCACATATATATTAGGAAGCCCAGCTGAAGGTCCCATTTATGATGTTTGTTCCTTTCATTCTAGGGAGAGAGCTGTCAGAAAGGCATCTTGTCATCCTCTGTCGGCACGAAGGCAGCTTCCTCCATGAAATACCTTCCTGGGAGCAGTTGGAGATGAGAGCAGTGCCTGACACAGAGAAAGTGATCAACAAGTGTTTGGTAAGTGAGTTAGTGAATGAATGAATGAATGACGCAATGCCTTTTGGGGGTTGAAGAGGATACTTCTATTTTCTAAGAGGAAAGGCATAATTAAACTCTTTGGATGTCCCAGGTGGAAAGGAAGCCCCTGCCTGATGTTTGCGGATATGGATTTCTTAGAAGGAAAGTGGGATAGTGGCTCAAGGTGTACAAAGAGATGATACCTAAGCTTGATACTCCTGAGCTTGACCCCTTGGGGCAGACTGAGGATTGGCGACTAAGGGAGTTCAGGCAATAGAGAGCCTTGTTCTGGCCTGTTCTAATTTGGAGAAAGTTGGGTTATATCCTCTCTTTAAGATCCTCTGGGAGCCTCTGTGGGAACTGAATGAATATCAGCCCAGCTGACGAGCATGAAACTCAGAATGAGCATCAGCATCACCTATTAGAATGGGACCAGGGGCATCGGCCACTGTGTGTCAGCAAGAGGCCACAGCAATTACGGAATTGTCAGCAGAATACAGATTCCCTGTGGGTACAAAAGTTGAACTGACATTCTCACATTTGGACCAAGAAAGCTGCTAGGTTTTGGGTAGTTTAGGGAGGGTGTTGCCTCCAAAGAAAGATCCAGTAGAATATGAGCTAACCAAAGGAATCCCTATTCCTGATGTTTTGTTTATTCATGTGTCCTGAGCACAGAACAATGACTGGCACGTAGTGGTCACTCAATAAGTATTTGATGAATAAACAAATACTGGATTTCCTGCTAATAAGGCAGATGGTACTCAAACTGTTAGTCAGAAAAATAAAGACGAAGCCTTACATTATTCTGATTTCTGGAGCAGTTTATATAATCTCCTCACTAACACACACATAAGAAGATGTGAGGATTGATAAAACACAACATTTTTATTCTGAAACGGGAATTCTTTTCAACTCACCTCAATTCTGCAGCGTACTCAGCCATAGACATAATTATGTCAGCGTCATCACTGTTATCAGTGAGTAGATTATCAAACTGACTTATCTTTCAAACCAATGTTTTTATCTGTGTTATGAAAGCTGAAAGTAGATGAAGCAAGGATCAATAAAGGATCCAGCGAATACACTATAGTGTAAGTAAAATAAAAAATAAGAAATGAAATGGCTTCTTCCAACAAATGCCGTTGCAGAAAACCTCAGGTTGTCACTTGAAATTGATAAAGTGGGGGAACTGTAGTTGCAGCATGGGCTTTAATGTATAAATCTTCCATGGCACAGGTGTTCACCAATATGAATTCCAGAGGTGTTGGCCATTATGAAGTGAGGTATGTTTCTGATCATTTCTGACTCATTTACTGATTCAGATATCTGTTTTTTAGTCTCACAATATGATGAAGAAGGATGTTTATTTTAGAATTCTAGAATTCTCATTTTTACTTAAAAGATTAACCATAATTAGGTGCCCCCCAAACCCCATTTTTCTTCTTGTAGAAAGGCTTCAAGACAGGTTTGAAAACACCACCCAAAAAATATTATTCACCCTGATGTCTTTTGGAAAAATAAATATATTTTTGTGCTATATTTGATACAGGTGCATAAAAATGTTTTCGATGGACAGCAGCCATTGGGTGAGTTAAAACTTTATTCTTCAGAAGTGTGCACAGTTGTACTGTAATGTGCACAACCGGACGATAGTACCCTGAGGAGGATAAAAAGAAATGGAAATTTTCATTGAAAACCAGAATTTATTTAACAAGAATTTTTATAAAGAAATTGAGGAAAAATGCATATAGATATTACAGATTTTTGACCAATTCCCAGGCCAAAATATCAAAACTATAAACTGAGGAATCAACAAAGATAAGAATGATTTTTACACACATCTCTAATGATTCTAAATGGATGTAACTTGAACATGTTCTAATGAGTACTATAAGGGTGGGGGCTGTTTCAATTTGGGGGAGACAGAGTCTGAAGTTTTTTAACACCTAGCAAGAGAAGCTACTCTTTTGAGGTTAGACTTTTTTTTTTCTTTTCTTTTCTTCTTTTTTTTAAATTTGGCTGAGTTCACATGTTCAAAGGCCAGAGAATCATTTGGGATGAGGACTTCTTCATCTACTTTAAATCTAAGGATGAATCCAGCATTTAGAGAATATTCAGATTGCCTGAAAGTTAATGCTCAAGCAGGCATGCATGCTGAGCATCTCTTGCATGATGTCCTTCCTGGTAATGTGATAATCAGAGGTGCCCAGTCACCCAAATCTTGACGAGGAGCTTCCACTTGACATTGTTAGGAGAATAAAAGAAGATGAAGGACAAATATGTTGAACTTGGAATTTTTAAACTAGTGCAAAATTGATGTTATTCCTTTGTCGATTACTAAGTCTTCGACCTAAGTTTTCTTTGTCCCCAAGCATTAGAGATCTATTGTTTCTATCTCCTATCTATCACCTGTCTATCATCTATCTATCTATCTATCTATCTATCTATCTATCTATCTATCTATCTATCTATCTATCTATTTTCCAGCTTTATTGAGGTATAATTGAAATATAATATTATGTAAGTTTAAGGTGTACAACGTGATGGTTTGATACAATAATGTATCGAGAAGGTTAATACCTTTATCACCTGACATAATTACTATTTCTTGTTTTATGATGAGAACTTTTAAGAGTTACTTTCTTAGCAACTTTCAAGAATAAAAGGCTGTATTGTTAACTGTAGTCACATACTGTACATCAGATCCTCACAACCAATTCATTTTATAACTAGAAGTTCATACTGTTTCACCAACACTCCCCTTTTCCTCCATCCCCTAGCCCCGGCAACCACCAGTCTACTCTCTGTTTCTATGAGTTCTATATTTTTAGACTCAACATATAACAGATCATATAGTGTTTGTCTTTCTCCACCTGACTTATTTCACTTAGCATAATGCCCTCAGATCACAAATGGCAGGATTTCCTTCTTTCTCATGGCTAAACAATATTCCATTGTATATATGCATATGCATTCATCCACTGACAGACACTTAGGTTATTTCCATATCTTGGCTATTGTAAATAATGATGAAAGGAATATTGGGATACAGATGTCTCTATCAGGTCCCGATTTCATCTTGTTTGGATAAATACCCAGAAGTGAGATTACTGGATCATAAGGCAGTTCTATTTTTAATTTATTGAGAAACCTCCATATTTTTTTCCACAGTGGCTGTACCAATTTAAATTCCCACTAACAGTACACAGGGTTCTCTTTTCTCCACATCCTTGCCAGTATGTCTTATGTCATCTTTTTGGTAATAGCCTTCTAACATTTATGAGGTGATAATCTCATTGTGGTTTTGATTATCTTTTCCCTGATAATTATTGATGGTGAACATCTTTTCATGTACCTGTTGGCCATTTGTATGCCTTCTTTGGAAAAAAAAATGTCTATTCAGTTTTACTGCCCATTTTTCAATCCAGTTATTTTTTTGTTGTTGTTATTGAGTTGTGTGAGTTTTTAAAATATATTTTGTTTAATAACTCCATATCAGATATATGATTTGCAAATATTTTCTCCCTTTCTGTAGGTTGCCATTTCATTTTGTTGATTGTTTCTTTTGCTTTGCAGGAACTTTTTAGTTAATGTAGTTCTACTTGTTGACTTTTGGTTTTGTTGATTGTGCTTTTGTTGTCATACCCCCAAAAATTGTTGCAAAGACCAATGTCAAGGAAATTGTCCCCCTATATTTTCTTCTAGGAGTTTCATGGTTTCGGGTCTTACAGTTAAGTCCTTAATCCACTTCAAGTTAGTTTTTTGTGAGTGATGTAAGATAGGGGTCCAATTTCATTCTTCTGCATGTGATTATCCAGTTTTCCCAACACCATTTATTGAAGAGAATGTTTTTTCTCTGTTAAGTATTCTTGGAACACTTGTAAATATCAATTGACCACATAAATGAGGACTTATTTCTGAGCTCTTTATTTTATTCCATTGGTGTATGTATCTATATTTATGCTAGTACCATACTGTTTTGGTTACTATAGGTTTGTAATATAATTTGAAATCAGGAAGCATGATGCCTCCAGCTTTGTTCTTCTTTCTCAAAATTGTTTTGGCTATTTGCAGGCTTTTGTGGTTCTATATGAATTTTAGGATTTTTTTTTCTATTCCTGTGAAAAATGGTATTAGAATTTTGAATGGGATTGCTTTGAATCTATAGATGGCTTTGGGTAGTATGGACATTTTAACAATGTTTATTCTCCTGATTCATGAACATAGGATATCTTCCTATTATTTGAGACTTCTTCAATTTTGTTTGTTTCAAGAATTTTTAAACTAATAGAAAACTCATGATGTGGTTTTTTTTGTGTGCATTTCAAAATGACTTTCCATTTTACTTAGTGACACCTAGAAACAGTACCGTCTGCATAATGTACTTGTATAATATACCTCCATTTTTCATGACTTTGCTCATTTATTTCTTTGTATAATTGTTCTTTGTATAACTACTCCACTGTCCATGTCTTTTTACATATGCAAAGCATGTGGATTGAGGACATTTGATGAGATCTGGGCAGAGAGATGGGATCAGATGAAAATTCTCAGAGTGCCGAATTGTGCTTTGAGTAATCTCAATGAACCCTAAGAATGATAACTTAGTTTGTAAGCTATGAGAAAAATTATGAGAACTATAATAGGAGACATGTGACCTTCACAGTGGTAGAATTCATTCCACTCAGAATCCAGAGACTGAAATGCTTCATAAAGGGGGGGACTTAAGCATAGGGAAAGTGGCCTTTGGAAAGGAACAAGAGAACAGCATTGCAGACTTCGGGATCCTCACTTGCATTGCTTCAGGTCAGGTTTTCAGTGTATCTCACCTGGGCCCTTGTAATAGCCTCTAATTCCATGCTTGTTTTTGTCTCTCTACACATGCACTTCATTTCTTCTCTGCTTCTAGAGTGATATTTCTAAAACACAAATATGTCCATTGTCGGATGTGTCTGCCTACATAGGGTTTTAGAATCTTGTGGACTACATCTGATGAGGAAATTTGTAAGCCAACACAATCCTTCTTAAATTTATGTGGAAACATGTCCTCAGAGTAATGGTCAGCTATAAATCATCTTCTCCCTACAGTTTACAGCTCCCATGAAATCTTGGGGTCAAGACCCACTTAGTTATTACTTAGAATGACAGTTTATTGCTTTGACAGAGATTTTAACAACTATTTAGTGCTGTAAATCTTTGGTAAGAATGGTCCCACATGTTTTACTATCTGAACATGGTTCAGAAATAGCATTTGTCAACAGTTTTAGTGTCCCATTTTTAGCATTCGAAGGATTGGGTTGTTGGAAAAGTCAGGACATATTTTTTCTATGTTTTTGTTGCAAAAATGCGTCATGACTTTTCCAACAACCCAATATTTTACTGGTAATGCATTTTGTGTTCAGTACAATGTAAGGAGTTTTGGAAATGTGGGGAAAACTAGATAGAATTTTGCCTTTACTCTTGTTGGAAATACAAAGATACAAATAATGCAATTAAATAATGCATCAGAGTTTAATAATAGCATAAAATAATGTAATAAAGATAAAAATCAGAAATAATAGTAGCTAGCACCAAAATCTTACTGTGTGCCATAAACTGTGTGAAACACTTTACATTAATTATTTAAACTATCAATTCAGTTTTTACAACTACCCTATGGAGTACATAATTAAAAGTCAAATGTGAACTGTAGATTCAGAGGTGCTCGACTACTAATTTGATTAAGTCCATAGGAGGGAGAAATCATTTCCAGAATTGTCATAGAAGACTTTAAGATGAATTTGAAACTGTATCTGAGGACTGGGTAGGAACTGGACAAACAAATTTAAGTAGGAAGCAGTTTAGATGAGGGGTGCCATGCGCAAGTTCCCAGAGGTAAGGAATTAAATGAATGTTCTTGGGAAAGTGTTGTAGATCGCAGAAAATTTGTAAAAGTTGATAAAAGAAAACAAATGAAGTTAAGTAGGCTGGGAATAAAATATATATAAGTGTACAACTATGACTCCCAGGCAGTGAATTCTTGCTTTTCCCCCTAAGTTTGAAAAAAAAAAATTAGTCTCCTGAGCTTTTCCAGTTCTACCCTTAGCCTTTTCAGAGTGTACTGCCTACTGGAATTGCTCCTCGGGAGCTGGTTCCGACTGGGAAATTGCTTTGCTGTGTAGTCTCTGTTGACGTCATTGTAGATATGTTCAACCTTGAGGCAGCGTTCAGACATCCTTGAGGACAGTTATTTGAAAATACTCCACATTTTGGAATCAGGATTTATGATTCTGAACATCTTTCTCAAGCCATGGCAGTTCATCATGGGTTCAGCAACTTTGTGTTCTTAGCCCCAGATAAGTGCTTTGTGGTCCGCCATGCATGGGGTATTGTCAGTAGCAATTTCTCTGAAAAGTAAAAACGATATGGATTCCTGGCATTATTCTTGATACCTTTTCTCTTTGAACTGTGGGTTTTCTGAAATGGCCCTTATGGCCTGACTTTGTTCCTTATTAGGCCTTGTGTTTCTCTATAGCTTAGTATAGTAGCTAGGAGTGTAGACCGTGGAGCTGAATTGTCTGAGTACAAATCCTAGCTGCTATTCTGA